ATTTGTTATAAACAATGTTTCTTAATATTATGTGTAAACAATGTATTTTCAAGTGCAGATCTCTGGGATGGATTGCAAGTGCAGAAAATTATAATGTATTTTATAATGTATTTTTAATATTTTATATAAACAATGTATTTAAAAAACAAAAACAAAAAAATTCTCTAAGATGGATTGCAATAGTAGAAAATTACTTGGGTTTATGGTTTGTTTTTTAAATATTTATTTAAGCACAAAATCATATATTTGAATATTGATTTTATTTATCTAACCCTTATTTTATTTTGCTTCAGAATCAAATGCATGCAGGATCCGAAGAGAGTAACCTTGCACCTAACATTTGATATTCTCCAATAATTTGAAGATCTAAAATATAGATCTTCAGGGAATTTGATTTTTAACTTGTTTGCTAGGGAATTTTATTTTTATTTTAAACGATGTAATATTCTTGGTAAACAATGTAATATTCTGGGTAAACAATGTAACAATTTTTTTATAAAAATGAAAGAAATAATCTTACCTCTCGGTTTTTAAAATAAACCGAGATGAAAGATACACTATTTTTAAAAATAATAAAGTGTCCCTGATGGGTTTCGAACCCATGTACATTTAACTTTACCTCTCAGTTTTAATTTCATCGAGGTGATAAGTGACGAATTTGCATGCCACATTTTGTTACCTCTCTTTTATAGCTGACACTACTACAAAAACGTTTTTTAATAGCGCTTTTTTTGTTTTTTAATAGCGCTTTAAAGCGCTATTAATCAAGGCGCTATTGTAAAACAAAATTTTTAATAGCGCTTTAAAAGCGCTATTATAGTTTTGGTTATTAATAGCGCTTTTCCAAAAGCGCTATTATAGGACTTGTATTTAATAGCGCTTTTACAAAAACGCTATTATAAGTCACATATTTGATAGCGCTTTCAAACAAAGCGCTATTATAGCACCGGTAATTTGCTTTAATTTTGATAGCACTTTCAAACAAAGCGCTATTATAGGACATATATTTAATAGCGATTTCCAATAAAGCGCTATTATAGGACACATATTTAATAGCACTTTTAAACAAAGCGCTATTATAATCCACATATTCGATAGCACTTCCAAACAAAGCGCTATTGAAATACCGGTAAATTGCTTTAATTTTGATAGCACTTTATAACAAAGCGCTATTATAGCACGCTCTCTTCAGACCGCTATATATTATAATACACTTTTTTTTTACACCAAATCATTTTATATATATATATATATATATATATATATATATATATATATATATATATATATATATATATATATATATATATATATATATATATATATATATATATATATATATATATATATATATATATATATATATATATATATATATATATATATATATATATATATATATATATATATATATATATATATATATATATATATATAATATTGATGCATACAATATATTGATGCATAGTATTGATGCATACATATAATATTGATGCAAATCATTTCCATTAAGTCAAGCTAAGAACAGATGCATAATACAAGTCATTAGTGATACAGCTATATCTATTATAATTTGTTGAGATCTCGAACAAGCTAAAAGTAATTTAAGAATCTTTTGTCATAACATTCTCATTGAGGGAACATTTTCTGTAAAACCAAACAAATATTGTCACCTAAAAACCAAACACATAATCAATTTAAAATTGGTAATGACCAAAAGATGTGAACTATGAAACCCTAACACAAAATCGTTCGAGAAGTTATATTAATACATTAACAGAAAATAGAAACAGGGCATAGATTAATTCCAGCAATAAGAGGGAGATAATAGATATAAATACCTTGTTCTGGAAATCGACGGAAGACAAACTGGCTTTGAATTCAGTAGAGACGATTTGTTTGAAGGAAGGTTGAAGAGATAGGGTTTGTTCAATCCACACACCGTCGACGAAAGAGAGAAGAGGTCCGCCGGCGGGAGCAGCGTTGGAGAGGACAACAGAAACGAGCTGAGAGGCAAAGGAGTTGAGATGATCGATGGATTTGGATTGGAGGAATTCAAGAAGCTGTTGTTGTGTGGGACCCTCAGAGCCAGCAGCGATGATGCTAAGAACGAGTTGTAGCGAAAGTGGAGATAACACGATGTTCTTATCTTGATGAGATACTTTTGAGAACAAATGGTTAGCGATGGTGAAGGAAACATTGGTTTGGCGGGTTATTGATTCACCTCCGACCGTTAATCCATCCCTCACTTCAAACTGGCTTCAAACCCATTCCATCCGTAAATCCAACTTCAAAACACCCCCAAAACCAGAACCGAAAGTGGAAGAGAGATTCAAAGTGAAACAACCGAACACCCAATCATAAACCCTAACCCCTCTTTCAGTAATCCAAATCTCCATTCCTTCCGCCGTAAACATCAAACTTCAATAGATTTCCATCATCAAAACCAAACCGTTCAGAATAATCATCATCAACAAATTTAAACCAGATTCAGAAATAGAATAAGAGGAGATTGAGAGAGTTTGAAAGAGAGAGCCAGTGAAACGAGATTGAGAGAGGGGAATCCGAGTAATGATACGAAGAAGAAGGAATTTTGTGCCAAAACGAAAAACATTTGGGCCAGGAAAGGTTTTCATATTTTAATTAATTTAATTTAGTGGAATATTTTAATAGCGCTTTTTAAAAAAGCGCTATCTTAAAACACAATTATAGAAACGATAGCGGTTCCATAAAAAGCGCTATTGTAGTTACATATTTTAATAGCGATTTTTAAAAAGCGCTATCGTAGTGCTTTTAATAATAGCGCTTTTATAAAAGTGCTATTGTAATACAACATTTTAATAGCGCTTTTTAGAAAAGCGTTATCTTAGTGAATACCTATAATAGCGCTTTTTTACAAAGTGCTATCAAAATCATATTCTCTGTACTCTTTAATAGCGCTTTACTATAAAGCGCTATTATAAATATGTTTGTTTCTTTTTTAATAGCGCTTATTTAAAAAGCGCTATTAAAGTAGGCGATACAAAAAACCAATTTTGGCGTAGTGTGAGGTAATATGCATTTCGTGTTCGAGGTAAAAAAGCGTTTTTTATAGTAGTGAATGTTTAATGGAGAAAAACTTGATTACACACAATCCTTCAAGCATGAGGCTGTAAGAGAGATAAGTTTATGGGGAAATATCAGATTGTACACAGTCCCTTAAGCATGAGGTCTTTAAGAGCGATATTTTAATGGGGATAGAATGGATTGTACAATACTAATGTCACCTTTCCAACATAAGACCAATTAATGTGGATCGATTCCATTGCACCTTTGTCTGAGTCCGACTAGATAATCGGTATTCATATCTCTTAAATACCTTGTCATTATATTATAATGCATTAGTCAAAAGTAAGATATGTTGGATTTGGGCCGTCCTGCTTCACTAAGCCCATTAAGTTTAAACTAGCTTGTGGTTGCCCTAGAATGGCTTAAAACCAGGACAAGGTTTGTTTTTCCAAGTTTGAATCGACCCAATTTATCAGATATGTACACAGTTCCTCAAATATGAGGCCTATAAGGTTAGATGCTTAATGGGAAATACTATGTTATGCATAATCTTTTCATGTATGTTTCCCTTCTATAAGGGCATGATGTTTAATCTCAATTGAGGGTGTGATATTTGATCTCATGTAAGGGTGAGATGTTTAATCTCCTAATGTTCTTATCTGAAGTCACGATCGATCTTGACGTGATTATTTTCCAATTTCTTGACCTTTCCATTTTCAATAATAGGTGTGTAGCTTTAGTTAGCCCTAACTATTGCTAAGTGCCTTGAGACTTATAAAGAACTTATGCTAATTATCAACCTCTACATCCATAAGGTGCTAATATTAAGTGTGACAATTTTCTTTTCTTCCACTTGTGTCTATCAATAAATAAATCTTTTCTATTCTGATCATTTCAACTTTTACTTTCTAACAGAGCTTTTATGCAAAATTTTCTCATTTCTCTTCCTCTTATTTGTTTCTTCTCTTGCTCAGACCTTATTATAAGCAGGATTTTTCGACCTTGTAAGAAGGAGGAAGACCGTTAGGCCGAACAAGCATCTCGAGAAGCGAGTTGGCATTCTAATTGAAGTATTTTGTCCTTTTTATTTTAAGACTGTCTCTTCGACATCGTCAGAAGCTTTCTAGAGCCTGACTTATCCTTAGAGAATGTTTTTGTCTTACTACTAAGTTCCTCTCTACAAAATAAACCTTAAGGTACACAATCTCCCAAACATGAGACGTGTAAACTGAAATGCTTAGTTGAAAGTCTATGATACTACAACATTATCATGGATAATGAATTTATAAAAGAGGCTTGATCTTGAAGATGACATGGTGGAACAATCCGAAGATATAAATACTAAGTCCCTGATACATATAGACATAGCCCTTCAAATACGAGATTTACAAGTACAAATTTATTAAGTCAGAAATAAACGTAGTGTGACTAGAGATCAACTTGACTTTGTATATAAATTTACTCCTCTAAAATTTTAACTGGTAGAGAATAGCCATAAACGTGAGGATACCTTGAATCATCATAAAGAAACCGAAATTATTAAATTATTAAATATTGTGATGCTAGTTAAATAGAATTGAGTTTAGTACCCATTGCATGGGTAACTTTTCATTGTCATAAGTTTAAGTATCTCTTACACTTAATCAAATTTATATAATCAATTTATTCAAATTTAATTTTATCATTAAAAAATAGGAAAATATGGTGATTGATGTAGCCCTATATTAATTAATGTCAAATAGATCCTACATGAACCATCAATAATATAATCCCAATCCATGTGGAGACTTTAAATTATAGATCACAACATCACAAGTCAAACCACTAAAAGGCCATTTTCTTGCCATTGCAAGCCATAATAATAACTTTCTACATTGAAAAATAATATATTAAAATCTACAAAACCATTCATTACATAAATCTTCCACACTATCACCAACTACAAGATCTCATCAACACATATTTAAATAACTCACAACTCCTACAAACAAGAAACCAACAAAAGATGGCAACAAAGAAGATGAAGAAGAAGGATTAATCTGAATAATAAAATCACAACTAGAAGTTGAAATATTATTAGTTGTAATCATAGCCAACCCTTCAAAATCACAAGCTAGGTCATTCTGATCTTGAACTTGATAATACATATTAAATGCATATGAAGCTTTTCCATTAGCATCCAAATCATTGCAAGAAGAACCATCACCAAGTGGAGTACAATCAGCATAAGAACAAGCATAATTAATATTATCATCAAGTTTACTTAAATTATTAGAATTAGGGTTAAACATGCACCATTTTGGATCAAGATAATGCATATCTTTTGCACCTACTAATAACTTATTCTCACCATTTTTACTTGAAACATGCATTGGAAATTTAGGTTTTCCATCAAAACTAAAAATTCCCCAATGTCTTTCAAAATTTCCAGGAGCTATATCTTTTGCATCTTCATCAATTAATCCAAATAAATAAACTTCAATGTAACCATTTCTTTTTGGTGTTCCTTTGTTTGATGAAAGCTTAGGTAAAAGACCATTATAGAATCTTAATGCATTTTGGATATTTGCATTTTTGTTACCATCTGTGGGCCATCCAACTTCACCAACAAGAATTTCCATATTTCCAAACCCTATTGCTTTTAATGCTGAGACTAAAGTGTCAAAATTTGCATCAAAAACATTTGTGTAAGAAATTCCATTATCATTTAATGGATTTGTTACTCCATCAAAAAATGCATAATCAAATGGAAAATTGTCATTTTCATAGAGACTTAAAAAGGGGTAAATGTTTACTGTGAATGGTGCATTGTTTTTGTTTAGGAATTGAACTATTTGGGTCATGAGGTTGGATAAATCTGGTCTGAATATTCCAGAGGAGGGAACCGCATTGTTTGGATCTGGATATTCATAGATATCTGCATTGGAAGGGACTGTGGCTTTTATGGAGTCACCTAAACCAAGTTCATTTAGGGCATTTTGAATGTTTTGTAGGGCAGGGAAGGTTACATTCAAATATGAATTGTTGTAGGATTTCAAAAATGGCTCATTTCCAACTGCTACATACCTGTAATCATTGTGTAAAAATGGAATAAATAAATATTAAATATTTCTTTAAGAAAAAATAATTATTATGAAACATAATTAATTTTTTTTTTTTGTAAAATTCAATATACAGCTCAAGGACCGAAAGAATTAATTCTACTCCCCATATAAATCGATGGAACATAAAAATTGTTAACTTTGACTAAATTCAAACTTAAACTTAAAAAAAAAAAAAATTTAAATTTTAAATATTTCCCAAAATAAAATAATCCTAAAATAATAAACTAAATTATCCTTAGTCTATTTGTATTTTTTCTTTTTTAATTTTTAAATATATAAAATAATTAATATACCTGCATAATATATAAACTATCTCTGATTTTATTTATAAAAATATAATTTTTTTAAATTTATTAAATATTTAATATACCTAAATAATATATAGACCAGAGATATATTTTTTATTCAATAATTTATTTATATAATTGAACAAAAGGGAATATATAATTTAAAATTTCCTGATTCACATGGAAATTTCCTTTATAATCAAATATCTAAAATATAATTTTTTATAATCTAAATTCAGAAATGGTACAACTTTATCACTTTGCTATGTTTCTTATTCACACAATATTTTATAACTTTAATATTTTTCTTTTTTATATTTGATTGCCGTCCATGTCAGAACAGAAACTTTACTTTCTCTAGAAATTAGAAAAGCTTTGTTATTGGCCAGCTTTATCATGAAGCCAAAAAAAATGCAAATTCCAAAGTAACTAGTCAAATATCAAAATAGTCCCAAAATTCCACATCACACTCATTGAGGGTAATTTAGTCATAAAAACAATAATTTGTAAATTTTTATAAAAAAATTAAAATACCATCAAAATATCACATTAATCATGCACTCATCAAAAATAGAATCTCCAAATTAAATTTATTCTGGATCAATTACTGTGAACCGTATGATCTTGATCGAATGGTTGATATTACACGATTGCATGAAATGTATATTTTTCTTAGCGTATAGAATCATATCCCACTTTTCAATTAATCAACCTTATAATTACATTTCATTGAGTAACTATCACATAATAGAACAAAACACAATAATTGAGTTTTAAAAATTCAATAATTCATCACTATTTATCACTGGGGTGGCAAAACATATCTAATATTTGTCGATTTCTTTCGATAAATCTGAGTTTTAGACTCTTACTTTCTAATAATGGTAATAATACTTTGGCCTTCCGCGCTCTAATTTTACACTCTCAACTATATTTATCATATTATTTTTACGAATTTTTACGAAAATAAATAAAATAGAAAATAAAGAAAAGAAAGAAACTTACTTGATATTAACACCCCCAGATTTAAAGTTATACCGAGTAATATTTTTCCTAACCCATTGCAAAGCACGATCATAATTACTCATTTCAGGCAATTGCTTATTTGGAATCCCAACCATCACTTCAATCCCCGATCCACCAAGAGCACTCATAGTTTCATCATCAGCATCAAATAACTTCACTTTTCCAATTCCATTATCCTTCAACATTTCAACTATTGTATCTGGTTTCAATGGATGTGTTGCTTGTGTTCCCCAATTCACACCAAGTCCTTCCACATAGGACCATACTAATATTTCACTCATCATCATAATCACAAAAACCCATCTACAAAACATTTTTTGGTGATCAATTTATTCACTTGTAGAAATAGAAGTGAAGCTTAGGTTAATATATTGAAAAAAGAAGGGAATATATTCACTAAGTGGTTGATGAATATATTCTCTTTTGATTGGTTAATTGGGATGAGAGAATATAGAGAAAGCTATAGAGAGGTAGTAGAATAAGTTGGAGAGATTAGATGGAATTTTGTAAAAGAAGAAGGGAATTAGAAAGAGATTAGATGGAATTTGGTTATTAGTAAGAGATTAGAATGAGGAATGAAGAAAGAAGAAAGAGATGTATTTTTTCTTACACGTGTATGTTTTGTGGACAAGAAGAAAAGTGTGTTCAATTTCTCTTAGCATAGTTTATATCAACTTTGAAGGTTAAAATAAGAGGTCGGTATGTTCCAATCCCATCACTACTAGAATTGGTCGGTTTCTTTCTTTATTATTGTTTAATCTATTGAGAATATTGTTGGCATAATAAATAACATGATCTATTTTTTCATGTTATTGGTGTAAAATTGTCTCAAATGTATAATTACTAGCCTCTTACATATTAACTTAAATGATAGGTCTCAATGAGGAGATGTGATTATGGGAACATTGATAAACTTTTTCATGCATCCAGAAATTTTAATTAATAGAGTTAAGGATAATTTTTTAAATACAAAAATAAATATTAAATAATATAAATATTTATATTTTTTATAAATATTTATATTATTTAATATTTATTATGTATAAAATAATGATGATAATATATATCTAAAAAGTTAAATATATATATAAAATAAAGACAACATAATATTCAAAGATTATAATTGCTTTCTAAATCAACATTTAAATTTTTTTTTTTTAAAAAATGGCCCTATTTGTTGTGCAAATGTATTTTCCACTTCATTAACTTGTTGAGATTGCAATGTTGATTTTCTTTTAAAATATTTTTTTATTTCTAACACAAAAATTTAACACTCATTAGTTACTTGATTCTAATACAATTACTGAACTACAACTCTACAAGAATAAATTAAAACTAAAAACATGATAAAAATAGATTAAAAAAAATATGAAATCACAATATAATAATATAATATACAACAACAACAAAAAGAATGAATGGAGAAACTTACTTGAATATTGTCTTTTAACTCTACTATGATAAAACGATAAAAACAAATAAGATTTAAAAGTAGGAGATTTATGAAGAAAAAATAAAGTGTGTAGAAGAAAGAAGACAAAAAAAAGAGTATGTATGTAAATTAATTTATAATTAGAAGAACCTATACAAATACAATTTACATGTGTCTTTTTAATTTCCATTTTTTTAAAATAGTAATAAAATAAAATTAGTGGTCAGATTTATGTTTCCTAGAATTCAAATCAAATGAGTGGTATGGGGACAATTATGTATTTAATGTGGGGTCAATATTCTAAAATTAATTATTATTGGTTTTAAAAAAAAAAAATCAAGTGGGGTCACTTGACCCCATTCCAACCAACTTGGATCCGTGCCTGAAGTTACCGTTTTGTAATTTTTGGTGAAGTTTTTTATGAAACATGTTAAAATTTAAAACCACGAGATCGATGAATAATGAAGAAAATTACAATGTAGAGAGGTAAAGAGATAATTGAGGGTAAAAAAGTTTTTATTCACATTAACTAAAGATTAGGATGTCTACGATGCATTTATATAAGTGTTATAAAAGTGATTGGAACACACTACATGCAATTACATAACATAAAAAATAGAAAACTCGGGCTTGTAATTGGTTACACTAAACCTGTAACCGGTTACAGGAGACACTAAAATAAATTTTCTTTAAGTGGTAATCGGTTACAATTGCGAAGTTTTCACTTTTTTTTAACTCATAAGTGCTTGTGGCCTTGTTGTAACCGGTTACACCCCGTGTTAACCGGCTATTGCACTTGAATTACTAAGAGCACTTTTGGCGCACCACCTTAATTCAAGTGCTCCAAGTCTTTCATTCTCATGCTCATGTTCATCTTCAATTTGTTGAACACATCATTTGTGACTCCCTTAGTCAACAAATCAGCCACTTGGTCTTTATTTTTGCAATATCCCAATCTTATCTTTCCTTCACTAACAAGTTCCTTCAAGTAATGAAACTTCATCTCAATATGATTGCTCGTACCATGTGCAATTGGGTTCTTAGAAAGATTAATTGCATAAACGTTATCAATCAGAAGTATAACAACCTCACCCTCACTGCTGCCCAACTCCTCCAATAGATTTATAAGCCACACGGCTTGACACGCATATTACAAAGCTGCAATGGACTCGGCCTCACAAAATGAGAGTGCAACTACCGGTTCCTTCTTTGAACACCATGAGATTGGTGTTCCACCAAAGATAAAGATGTGTCCAACTGTAAACTTTCGATCATCTTTATCTCCGCACCAATTGGAATCGATGAAATCGAGCAAATTGAATTTTTTTGCTTGTATCCACTGCGAGAAAGCGAATTCCGCATTTAACAGAACCTTTGACATATCTTAGGATCCTCGTTACTGCTGCCAAGTGAGACACCTTCGGTCTCCCCATGAATCTTACTGATACTAAACGCCAAGTTCAACTGCGTATTGCACATATAACGCAAGGATCCAATTAGCCTCCTATATTGATTTGGGTAAATATCTTACTCATCCTCATTCTTCGATATTTGTAATCTCGGTTCAGCTGGAGTAATGGAAGCATTATGACGCTCCATTTCAAACTTCTTCAATATCTCAAGCGCATATGTCCTTTGGTGCATGAACAACCCCCTTTTTGGACTTGTGGAACTCAAATCCAAGGAAGTATGTCATGAGGCCATGGTCGATCATCTCAAATTCTTTCATAAGCTCACTCTTGAACTTAGAAATGCACTTTCTGTTGTTTCCCGTTATCAATAAGTCATCTACATATAGACAAAGGATCATCACTCATTCACTTATATTTGTCTTCACATATAGTCCCTACTCGGATACATAATTCTTGAAGCCAACCTCTTTTAGGAAACCATGTATTCTTTTGTTCCAAGCTCTTGGAGCTTGCTCCAAACCATATAACATATTCTTCAACTTGTAGAACTTTAGCTCTTAGTTTCGCACAACAAAATCAAGGGGTTGTTCTAAATACACCTCTTCTTCGAGCGGTCCATTCAAAAATGCTTATTTGACGTTGTAGTACCTCAAATTTGTCCTATCTTTACAGGGTTTCTAGTGCCACTTTATTTTGAATTAATAAAATAACACAATTGGCAAGAGATCGTGTGTAAGGAGTTGTGAGTGTGAGAGGTCGAGAGTTCAAATCTCACCTTCTACACTTTTATTTTTTCACTTTTTTCTATATTATCCATAAAAACATCCAAATCATAGAATTAAAAATATTAGAAAAGATTTTATTTTTTTTATAATATTTTTAATGTTTAGTATAAATAAATAGAGTTTTAAGTTTATTTTAATTTGTTTAAATTTTATTTAGTTTTGACTAATTATTTAAGTTGGGCTTTAAGGTGGACATTAGGTTAGAGTTAACCCTAATTTGTTAGTTCTCACAATTTATCAGAAGAGGGGAGATTTGAGAGGTCGAGAGTTCAAATCTCACCTTCTACACTTTTATTTTTTCACTTTTTTCTATATTATCCATAAAAACATCCAAATCATAGAATTAAAAATATTAGAAAAGATTTTATTCTTTTTATAATATTTTTAATGTTTAGTATAAATAAATAGAGTTTTAAGTTTATTTTAATTTGTTTAAATTTTATTTAGTTTTGACTAATTATTTAAGTTGGGCTTTAAAGTGGACATTAGGTTAGAGTTAACCCTAATTTGTTAGTTCTCACGATTTATCAGAAGAGGGGAGATTTTTGAAAAAAAAACCTTCAAAGCTTCATCATCAAGATCAACGAACCGCCACCACCGCCTCAGAAGACTACCATCATTGGCTCCAAAGGTGAAGATTTCATTACGGTTTTTTGTTTGTTTTTTTGTTTGTTTTTTGTTTCAGGTTAGGTTAAGAAAGAAGCAGATGGAGGTATCAATGGAGGTCGCACCGGCCCTAAGAAGAAGAAGAGAGGAATAGCCAAAACTCTAATGGAAATAACACAGTAGCAACGCTCCTCTTTATCTTCTGTCTCTTTTGTTTTTTTGTTCTTTTCTATTTTGTAGTATTTATTATTACTTTTTTATTTTAGCGCTTTATTATTTTTATTATCTTATTGTAATAACTAAATAATTTATCTTTCTAACTTTTATTAATTCATTTTTGTTAAAGTAAAAATTTAAAACTCATTATTTCCCTTTTTTTTTTAAACTGAAAACTCATTCTTTCCCTTTTTTAAAAAAAAAAACTGAAAACCTTTTCAAAAAAAAAAACTGAAAAAACCGTTTTATTAAAAACTGAAAAACCTTTTTACTAAAAACTGAAAAATCTTTTTAAAACTAAAAAATTTTTTTTTTATAAAACTTAATTTTTTTTATATACAAGTTAAAACTTAACATTCTTTTTATAATTTAAACTTAAAATTTTTTTAAAAAAAAGAAAAAACTTAAAATTTATATTAACCAAATAATTCCATTTAAAAATTAAAACCATTTTTTATAATTAAAATATTAGAATTGAAACCAATTGTCATAATTAAAACATAAAAATTAAAACCTTTTCGTAAGGAACTCCTGATGTATGCCAATGTTATTTTCAGCCAACCATCGTTACTTCTTATTCATTTCAACTTATTTATCCTTCATTTTTTGGGGATTCAAATAATTTACGCGAGTGATCATCGCGATGCTTTCTTTTACCGCTTTCATTACTTTTCGTACTTTAATTCCTCCATGTAATAATTTGTCATGTTTGCATCATTTACCGTTTAAACTGCTTCCGAAGGATTAAGTCTAGCCGTTTGACCGCCGAGTCAATAGCCTTACCCTTTTAATGTTTCAAAATCCTAATAGCCTAGGTGTCCCGCCGTGGACGAAAACGCCTTTCACCCTAACTTTAGGATAAA